GAACAAAGCACAAAAAAAGAAAAAAAAAAAAAAAAAAAAAGCAGGCAAAGGAAGTTAAACCCATATATTGGGGATGATGATGACCATCAGTTTTAACATTCCAAGATGCTGTTGACTGCCGCCTCTAGAGCAGAGTCTGTGTCAGGGTGAGGGGGCGAAGTGAGCCGAGCAGGGTACTGGGGCCGGATCAAATGGGAGGACAGATGTTGAGACTCTTGGTAGTGCTTCTGTCCTCCCGACGTTGCTGTGAAAGGTGAAAGGTTACCTTGAGGATAACTGTTACCAGAGGTGATGCTGTTGCTGTTGGCGCTGTTGGGCCCGTAGCGTTGCTGGGAACTCTTCAGTTCCAGGATGCTCTGATTTTTTAAGTGTGGAGGGTGGAGTCTATCTACTGCACCTACAAGCTCAAACCCTCCTGGGTCTGCATTCCCAGGGTGGGAGTCTGTCTTGCATGGTGGCTCTATAGAGCCTCTGTCTGCCTGATTCCAACTTGAGCTGGACTGACAGGGAGTGGGGTCTTGGAAAAGTTTGGATTTCATTCCACAACAGAAGTCCTCCAAGAAGCTATCTGTAAAACAGATGAGAAGAAGAGCTTTAAAAAAGTCTCTCTGTGAGAAACTTGCTCACTGCAAATGGATTTCTTTTTACCTGGATCTACTAGTACCATGCGCTTGTCTTGTGTCAGGTTGCTGCGCTCCTCTTGGTTGAAGGTCCTGTCAATCATCACCATTTCTGACGACGGACTGGGACGCTGCCGGGAAGTGAGAGGCAACTTGTTAGCTCCGTGCATTCCACAACATTAAACACATATGTATGCAACCATTTGCACATGTATGTGCCCACCTCTGCTTCCACCATTAAAAGTCGCCTGTATTTATTGACCATGGCCTGGGTCCTCTTCAGCACCTGAGTTGCAGCTACCTCAAATTCTTCATCCACTGAAAAGAAATACATGACAATATGCTGCATTTGAGAGCCATCCTTGCAAATTTAGGGTTAGGCTAATAAATTCAAGGCTATACCCTGTGAGAACTCGTCCTGGCTGGGTGGAGTCCCGTGGAACACATGATAAGGGAGGAGTCTTTGCAGCGCATTGTTGACTGAAGTGAATTGACGTCTATCTGGGGTCTGGACTCCAGCATGATCCTTCCTCAACTGTTGTAAAATCCTAATGTGAGACAAGCTCCTTCAGTGGCTGAATGACAAGAAATACAAACAGAAAATATCTAACAGTATGTCAAAAAAACTCACATTCCTCCTCTTGTAAGTGGAGAAAGGGCAGGCCTCTTCTGTGCACTGACCTATAACAAGAAAATATGAATACTGAAGTTGTCATAATGGCACTAATACAATCCCTGTCAGCAAAATCCTTCTGCAACATATACAGGCATGAGTGCAAACCAACTGAGGTGCAGAAGATTAATATACCTGAGAGTTTAGTGTTGAATCTTGTGTTGTGGTTTTCATGGCTAAGAGAACAAAGCAACCTCATTAGATCCAAATGCTGCATACTGCATTTAAACATGTGTTGATAAAAAAAGCTGCCTTTGTTACCATGAATGCTGCTGAGCTGTGCCTGTTTGAGGGCAAGTGATGATGAATTCTGAAAAACAGAAATGAAAGTCATCAGAAAATTAAACAGTGAAGCAATTAAAATACTTCCAGTAACTTCTGGTTTTTACCTGTCTGTAATCTTGCTCCTGTGTCACTATACCAGGTAAAGGGGACAGAGAAGTGCAGTTCTGAGTTTGAGTCACTAGAAGGCGCTGCACGGGGCTAGCCGACACTTGACTGAGTCCTGCTGTTGCTGGGCCGACCAGAGTCAGCCGCCCAGGAGCGCACGATGTCTGCACAGGAGCAGAACTCGCACAAGACACTCCTGTCCATGTTTGGGTTATAGCCCCCCCAACCTGACTTCCACTGACTATTCCTTGATTCAAAATTAGCTGATTCCCTGGTGGTGCAGTGAAGTTCTGCCCCGCAACAATCTGCACCACATTCTGAGTGGTAGTCAGGGCATTTGAGTTGGGGTCAGCAGGGCCATTGTGGATGGTGGTGGCTGAAGTGAGTGCCAAAGAGCTGGGCAGCAAGAACTGTCCAGGTGGTATATTCGTCTGTCCTTGCATCTGCTGTTGCTCCAGGGGTGCCTGCACTACTATGGAGCCATTGGCTGTGTACTCTCCCCCAGGGGTAGCAGTGTTAGCAGTGCCTACATTAGCTGTGGTGGTGGGAGAGGACTGAAGACCAAGGCTGTAGACAGTCTGAGCCCCACCTTGAAGGGTTTTAGGCTGGATAGGTCTGACAAGAGTCTGGGTCCCTCCCAGGCCTCTCTGGATAATGAAGTTTTGAAGGGGAATGTTTTTGAAAGGTAGGCCCACTTGGCCTACTTGACCTTGGGTAGGAGCAAAGACCTGCCCTCCTGTTGTGGTCCCTGCTGCAGCTACTGGTGCCCCCGGCCTCAGCACAATCTGAGGAGTTCTTTCTAAGTTGCTCAGAGTCATCACCCCACCACCCGCCCCAAATGAGCCCAACACCTGGATTTGCTGAGCAGAGCCATTGGGCAGCTGGGACACTCCTTGCAGGAACTGGCTAGTTGGGAACGCACCTGTCGATGTGGTAACCACTCCCCCTCCATAACCCCCAGAGACCACCTGGGAAGGGAAGGGAACAGGAGCCTGCACTGGAGTAGGAGCTGGCTGGCAGTCCAGGAAGGCCTCCTGGGCCAGGATCTGCTCCGTTATGTCAGCCTCCAAGAGAGATTTCTGGAGGATGTCAAAGGGCTGGTCCTCTCCCCCAAGATCCCCACCTCCAGGAGAGCTCCCAGTCTCCAATTCATCCTCGATGAATGAAAGGCTACTAGAGAGCTGGAGGCCTGCCCCAGCTGAATCCTCGCCAAATTCACCCATTGAAGAAGAGCCATCCTTGAGGTCAATGTTGGAGCTGGCCTAAATGAAGCATTTAGAGAAATGAGAAGAAAATATAAACTCTTTGCATTACAACTGCATGTAAGACTGCTTTCCCTGTAGGCTAGTGTTTTACAGGATGCTTTTACTACCTTACTACAAAACAGGGATCTGTGTACTTTTAATCAAATATATTGCTTTTATTATTTAACAAAATAGTATATTCCCTCTAATTAGGACCAGCTGGTCACAATTAGACATTTGTTCACTATCAACTTGGCTCTTAAATTTCCTGAGTACACCATCTCCATGCAAAGTGAACCATAATGATTACATTACTACTCAAATCTCAGTAAAAGCCTGTGAAAGGACACCGTGTTAAAACTAATCCATCATCAGAAACTAACTCTGTAATCATAGACTAAAATTTGCTAATGTTTTGGTTGGATCACATAATCACAGGTTTTCTCACCGTGTCACTAATAAAGAAGGATCCATCTGGCCCATAAGCTGCATTTGTCACATCATCCTCCTCAATCTGTCAAAAGAAAGGAGTTAAAGAAATGAGCCAACTGAGTGTCTTTATGCATGTAACTATTCTGACACATTTTTAAGGAGTGACCCCGAATACATCTTTAAAGAGTCACTTACAGACTTGCTATTGCTGCCATGGAGATAATCATTTAGTGCATCCACATCTCTGCAAAAGGTAGAGAAGAGACTTTTATGGACTTTGAAAAACCTAAAACAGGCCAAATATAAATGTCTTTACACTTATTTATGGTTTAAAAATTGTAAAATTGCATCCAGAGCACTGTGACAGAAAATGTTTACAATAAAATTCTCTCTTGTGAACTTCATCAAAAGAGGGGGGAAAAAATCTTGCAAATACTTGTGGCTTTCATTTCAGTGTAACCTTATTAGCTTATTATGTTATTATTGTTAACCTTGTAGAAAAATGTATGGCCACACTGAATTGTCTTGTGTTGGCAAATCTCCTATGTATAATGTAAATGCCAGTTGTATCAAGAGTGTTTACCGTAAAATATCCAGAAGACGGCGATCGTCCTCATCATCCATGACACCTTAAAGAGCATGGAGGGATACAAGTATAGCATAAAGCAGGTGATGAGATGACAAAGTAACTTGTGTGTAAATCTGCAAGGACCAGTGCAGTAGCTTCATTAATCAGTGGAATAAATATAAGCTGATCAACTTCTTTTTGTCTTGTTTCTAGAGTAGGTAACTTAGCATGTGTATTCAGTTAGTAGTAAGGGCATCTCACTCACAGATTTCCAGCAGGAAGCATGAATTCAGTCATTTAACACCCTTTGTTTTCTGAAACAGGCTGGGCTGCAGGGTGAAAAACTGCATTTAGTAAGATTACATAATTATATGTGTGAAATACAAGGTGTGAGTGTGTGGGAGGGGTAGTGGTGGACAGATGTTATTTGTTGCTACTATAGGAGATCAATGTATAAGTAAGGGCCTTCATCCTTTTCTAAATGTGCTTGTCGTTGACGAACAAATTACCACCCATCAAACTTGGTTGTCTTTTGTGAGTGAACATGGCCATCTGAGTGTACATAACCCCACCCTGCTCCTTTCATACCTTGAATGGTTGAGTCTGTAGACTGAAAGAGGTGTTGGCTTTATGTTTTGTCAGCCAACACAAGTATGCAGTTATCTTGGTTTTACCAGTATAGTGGGATGAAAATGAATAGCCTACTAATTTGACCCAGCAGAGAAATGATCAGTGAGTGTTTGGATATCTACCACATTCTGTTTTAATGTAATAAGCAATGTGTGGAGAAATATACCAGAAAATAACCCCCTGCAGTCATTAATCCAGTATTTGAATAAAATTGTCTTTAAATAAAATATGTTGTACTTTATCAAAGTCAAGGATGATTTGTGGTTTTGTGTTCCTGATTCTGTGCAAAATGTAACAACTGCAATGCTACAAAATGGCCGTTACCATGCCACAGGCTGTCTTTACAGCTGAGCCGCGTTCAGCCTCCATATTTGGTTCAAGGGGAACAAAGAATAACAGGGCTGCTCTGAAATATGGGCTGTCTAGATTTCCTGCAGATTTAAACACCGAGAACCACGGCTAAAACAAATTAAATTATATAGTAAATTAAGTTTTCTGAAATATCCATGGCAAATACACGACGTTTTGTCGAAAGTGTGGAGAGACTCCTACAGTGCGGCTCATTTGTCTTTTCATTGTAAAATGTGAGAGGAACGTCGGTCTTTCTAAACAAAAATACATGCAAACCAAATTGTTTATTTTATTTCACTAAACGCTCCAAATATTGTGTATATATAAAATAAGTAAACACCACTCCTTTTAACTCCGACATGAAAATATTACCGTTTACACGAGCATTTAATATAAGTAACAGACTGTTTAGTGACATAAGTAACGTTACATTTTTTTTAAAGTCAAACATATACCCTAACAAAAGCAAGCCTCTGTAGTGTGTCAAAAGGTCCGAATTTGCGGTTGTATCGCTGCCTTTTATCAAAATAATTAGAGAAGTTTGAACATTTTGTTAGAACTACAGCTTAAATGTTTCCGACTTCCACCATAGCCTGCACCCTTCGCCGCAAGCCGAGTTAGTAGCCACTGTAGCCCTGCCACTAGGGCTTTGTGGAATCGCCATTGGTTTAGAAAGCCAGCTAATGTACAGCCTGCAAGTTTTATTTCCAAAAATAGACTGAATTGACAGAATGATAATCGCATTCAAGCAGCATAAAACGCCCGTGGTCCAGCCTGTGACTGGTCGTCGCTGACGTGCTCTTTCTTTCTCTGCTGGGGAGGCTTTCATTTGTCGTCTGCGGCTCATCTGCCAGCATGAAAAACGTCACATTTGTCCCCATATACCGAACCGACGCGCTTCAGCCGGGGGATTTTTGTCACAGTCCCTGTTCTCTTCACGAAGATCCCCAGCCTGGACGATCCTAAACATTTTAACCATAAACATCGGCCTGTTCTGGTTAGCTAACCGTGATGTCGTCGACGCCTATTTTGAAAACGTCGGTTAGAATCCGTCGAAAATGCGAAAGGACTAAACCGAGTCGTGCCATAAATATTTATCCCGATTAGCATTACATAAAGACGACTCCGAGAGGCAAACCCTTTACTCTTGTCTCACTCCTCTTGAAACCCAATATCTCCATTTGGCAACTTTTAATTTGCTCCCCCCCTCCTTCTCCTCCTCCTCCTTCTCCCTCTCCCACTCATATATTTTTCTCACCGTCCCTGTTCTGTCTCGGATAGATTTTTCTCTCCGCTCAAACTCTCTTCCCTCCCTGAAGGAAGGGAGGAAGGAGGTTGTGTGTGTTTTTTCCTTGAAATTTTTATCACAAAATTATAATACACTCAAAGGGAAACTCACCGTCATGAAAAAGCAGTGCCTTGTCAACGGGGTTTCCTCGCCATCACCGCACGGGTTGTTGGGGTAGTGCACAGAACAACCCAAATCATCAGTCCCCAACGGTAGCACACAAGTCTAAGCATTTGAATGGGAAGTAACTAAACAAGGATGACTTATTAATAAATACAGGTTTTTATATTAACACAAATAACATTCGTATATTTTCACTCCCCTCATGAATAGCAGTTAAATGTTATTAGAGTTAATCGCTACCAACGGTAGAGGGCGGGCCTACCTCTGATGTGTATGCCACACCTTGACATTGCTCAGGTTTAACCATGGTTACTGTATATCAGTCGGCTCCCTAGTTACTTGCTAGTCCATACATTTTATTCTTCAAAGCAGAGGTGCAAAGAAGTACATTTACTCAATTACAGTACTTAAGTACAATTTTGTAGTATCTCCAATTTACTCGAGTATTTTTATTTGCTGCTAAGCTACTTCATACTCTGAATTCACTAGCTACATTTTAAAGGCAAATGATGTATTTTACTCCTATACCCTACAATGAGGCTACTTGTTGGCTTTAGTTGCTAGTTACTTTTCAGAATCAGATTAATAAAACGAAATACAGTGTAATCTTCAATAATACATTATTCCGGTTGGGAAACTCACATGCTGCCTAGCAGTAATTAAAACTATAAGCATATAATTCCACTTTTGCCAGCTGCAATGTTAAATGGATGTATACCATTATGCATCAGTAATTATCCAACATGGTGATATATCCATAATGTGAATTGTGCCATTCTACATAATGAGTACCTTTACTTTTGGAACTTTAGCTGATGCAAATACTATTGTATGTAATGCTGTAGTATATACAAAGGAAGATTTTAACAAATATATTTAAAGGGTTTTGAACTTTAAAGGTTACTGAATGCATGTCAAGGATTGTGGGAAATGTTACTGTGCTTTTTTTTTAAGTATCACCTTTAACAAACTATCATAGTTTAGAAGCTCTTTATATTTTTATATGCAAAATCTTATTATGAAATAATATGAATTGTTGTCAAATACAGGTAAATGTAGAGGAGTAAAAAGCAGGCTACAATATTTTCCTTTAAAATGTAGTGGAGTAGAAGTAGTCTACAAAGTAGCATGATAGTACAACTTTCTCAGATTTGTTCCTAAGCACATTAGTCTACTTGAAAAAAGTAATGCATTCCAACACCTGGCTATGTACATAACATTTATTCAGGGCTAACAAATAGTAGAAACACAGTCTTTATATTTAAAAATTATATTACACAGGCACTTCTATCATTACCTCATACTAATTTTAGTTTTTGTTTTATTTTTTTCATTAATTTGGTGTCATTTTTCTGGCACGAGACGCTCCGATACAGAAGGTGGCGTTATGCGCCTTTGACTTAGACTTGAAGCGTAGAAGAAGAAATTGCATTGTCACTTCCTCAATAGCTAACAACATGGATGCACCAGCTGATGTTAGCGAGGAAAATATGTTTTCTGGCGAAATCACTGCAGTTAACATACAAGAGCGACTCCAGAAACGGCACCAGGCCAGGATAGAGGATGTCGAGCGGAGGAGGGAAGTTAAAGAGAGCCAGTCTGTCGCTGAGGAAAAGGGCGAGTATTTCTCCAGCACTTTCAACAGAGAACGGGTGTGTATCGAGGAGTTACTATCCAGCTGCTCCGGAGCTGATCAAGCTGTGGTGATTCAGAGGCTGGAGGAGGCCACGGCCAAAAACGTGCAGCTGCAGAAGTTTCTTAATGACAGCATGTTGTTTCTAACGCAGTATGAGCTAAGACAAGCCCAGGCTGCCCTCCAGAAACTCCAAACCTCCCTTGCTGAGACCAGAGAGGAGGCTCTGCCCAAGAAAAAGTTTGCCTTTCGAGCTCGCACTAAGGCAGTAGATCAAGTGTCCACACCAGTGTCAGACACAGCTGCACCTGACGATGGCACTCCTGCAAAGTCTGGTAAAGTGGATAGAGCTGAAGCCCCTGCGCAATGCGGCTTTTCCAACATGGACAATAAGTTCCTGACCAAAGGGTCCGAGGAGATCCAGAAGCAAGACGTGCTATTGACTCACCTGACCAACTGTAAGGTCCGGTTGTTTGGTTCCCCCAGCACACTGCACCTGAAGCAGATTGACAGCTGTGAGATCCTGTGCGGGCCAGTGTCTAGTTCAGTGTTTGTTGATCATTGCAGAAACAGTACACTGGCCGTTCCTTGCCAACAGCTGCGGACCCACAACACCACAGACACACAGGTGTATCTGCACGTTACCAGCCGAGCCATCATAGAGGACTGTTGTGGAGTGAGTTTTGCCCCCTTCTCCTGGTCATATCCTAATCTGGAGGAGGACTTCACTGTGTCTGGCTTAGATCGGGACAGAAACAACTGGAGCCAGGTGGATGACTTCAACTGGCTCGCTGCAGGAACACCTTCTCCCAACTGGACTGTCATTCCAGAAGCAGACAGGAAAACCAACTGGGACCCTAGAATTACACTTTAGAATAATTTATTTGCCAGTTAACACCTCAATCAAACCACTAAATGGAATGTTTTCAGCCTGAATACATGTTGTATAATCTTGTCCATGATTCATGAAGATGAACAAAATAAATAAAAATGCTAACGCTCCCTTTTGCTTTTCTAGGCTTGGCTTATTTTGCACAATTTTTTTGTACATTTATCTTCAGTAGTTTGTGGCAGTTATGCCTTCAAAAACAAAAACTTGTCTTAACAGGCAAATGAAAGGCCACAAGCATCAAACCTTCATCTTAACCGAAATAAGCAAAATAAATGCATTGTTTTCTTAGTATATTGTTTAAAAAAATAAATTTTTGATTATTTTCTAAATCCCATCTGAAAAGCACTTGGTTTAGTGAAAGGATCTTGTAAAAAATAAAGTATATTGTGGGCCTTAATTGTTTTGCTCACACATGAAACTAGGTGAAAATACAGTGAAAGAATACTTCAAATTAAATTGAATATTCTGTAGTATTCAGTTCAGCCCTATTATTAGATATACAGTATGTGCAGCTTGCTGGTGTGATGTTGCAGGAATCATCTGGTAGAGCCCAGCCAATATTAGTGTATTACAGACATACTGATGAACATGTCATTCAGTGAGTGACAAAATTCCAGTGCAGGAATGTCAGAGGTTTATAAGTAATTTAGAAACTCATTTAGAATCATTGCACACATATTTTCAATGTGCTATTCTTGACAGTGCAATTAAGGTACTTCCTGTTATCCAGGTATGTTGGGATTTTTTCTGTTATGTATACAAATATATCCAGCCCACTTACAAAACACAAATTAATGGAAACTACATGCAAGTTCAGCACAAGAGTGGCCTTATGTTTTATCCTGCTAAATCAGTCTCAGTTCTGTTTATTGTGTAGCTATAAATGAATTATTCACATATAATTAAACTCAAGGAGTTGATATGTGAGCCTGAATGCTCTTTTGTTTCTCTGAATGCATTACTGAGGCTTGATTAATTCAGCCTCTTTCCTCCACCCAAACAACATCCAGGTTGCGCTGAACCTGTGAACCCCACTTCTGAATGGGTATGCACCATTATTAGGTCCACTTTCATGTCTTTGCCAGCCTTCAGCTGATGGCATTACAACTCCTGGTGTGTTCTATCAAGGCAACCATGAGTATGCGAACACTCATACCAATTATGGCACCTGGTAACAGCTTACAATCAGGCTTATCTTGTGTAGAGGGATTTCTGCAAATTGGATCAGGCTGCTTACATGGGCTTAGCAGGACGTACTGCAACTTTCAGTTTAATCATGACGATCCACAACAATCCTCGTCCTCTCTGAGAGAGCAGAGTGTGACGATTAGCTTCACCATTAGTTAGGGAACAAAAACTAGTAAAAGCTAGAGACTAAAGCCTTATGAAATTTGAAGTTTCTGTGACAATGGGAGAGGAGATAGTTTTGAAGAAATAACTCTGTGCTCTTCCAGGGTCCTCTTGGGTTCTTCATCTCTGCTCTTTTGCTGTGGGATGGATTACCGCCTGAGCTGACTCTCCTGTCCTGTTGGGGCAGCCAGAGGAGAGACAGAAACTTGGCCTGCAAGAACATTTATATAAAATAAGCTTCTTCACAGGAAAGATATCTCAGGTTGAACAATGGCTTTGATGTTGATCAAATTTGATCTGAAAAAGCGAGTGAAGCTTGCTCAGACAGTCTGGTTCATGTACTGGTTCGCTGTAATGGCTGGTGTGCTGGTCTTCAGCATGGGCCTCTTCTTTAAGATTGAGCTGCGGAAGCGCTCAGAATTCATGGACAACAATGAGAGCCACTTCTTGCCAAACCTACTTATATTAATGGGTCTAATAACCTGTGTAACTAATGCCTTTGGAGGCAAGATCTGCTATGACTCACTGGACCCTAGCAAGTTTGCAAAGTGGAAGCCCATGCTGAAGAACTTCTTGGTGTCCTGCATGTGCTTCAACTCTCTGCTGCTCATGACAGCCCTGCTGTGTTTCTTGATGAGGATCCCTCTGCAGTTCACCCTGACTGAGGGGCTGAAGAATGGCATGCGGTACTACAAGGACACAGACACACCGGGTCGCTGCTACATGAAGAGGACCCTGGACCTGATGCAGATAGAGTTTCGTTGCTGCGGGAATGACAACTACAGAGACTGGTTTGAATTTCAGTGGGTTAGCAACCGCTACCTGGACTTCAGCTCAAAGGAAGTTAAAGAGTAAGTGAGAAAGATTAAAAGTTCATTAATGTGTGATGTGTCAGTGAAATGACTTTTTGCCTCAAAGGGAATGTCACTGAATGTCCCTGTATCAAGGTGGAGGCTACTGGAGTGGGGTGCTTCTATACAAAGTTACAGTTAAATATATGTGGATTTGAGGTGAAGGTATTCACTGTCCTCCTCTGAGGATTACAATCACAGACACTGTGACAGCACCAGGTAGCAATGGGTATGTTGCACTGGGAGCTGGGAGGGTAGGAGAGGTTACTAGGCAGTTTTATGAATAAAGTTGGCAGAAGAGGCTTTGTTGATTAGATCCAGAAAAAGACACAAGATTTCAAAAAGCACAAGCAGGATTGAAAGTATATTGTTCCAGTCCAGTGAAACTTGTGAAATCCTGTTCATATTTACACTGATTTTGGGCAACAAGTACCAGTTTGCTTTGTTAGGACAGTTGTGAAGAGGAGTTTGGAGCATTGGCACGTAATTAGGGTTTAATCTTCAGGATTACAGCTCCATGTCCTTCAAGAATCAGTGTCCAGGCCAATCAGCAGAGGGCCTGGCAAAACTCCAGGGACAGCACTATCCAGTAAGACAGTTTGTAGCTGGGCTTGTAAAATCAGTGTACACACCAGCTGACCGATTACAGTAATACTAAGGAGGTGACTGGTGAAAACTCTGATGGCATTATAGCCCTCTGTCAATGACTCCTTACAAAGTTTCAAAAAACTTCATGCCTTTTTGGGGTTTCCCTGTAACTCACATTTTTCAAATCCTAATCCTGTATTTGCTAAAATATCAGCAAAGCCATCTTTCAAATTCATTGCATTACATTGATTAGAATTCAGAACATTCCTATACATGATATTGTGAAGTACAACTACACCACAAGTTACAGTCTCAAAAATGGCTATATTCCTATACTTATTCATCAAGTCCAATTTTATTGTATTCAGCAGCTGAGTAGTTAAACTGTGCAATCTGCAACAATCAACATCTCACTTTGTAGTTATGTCTGGTACAAGAGAAGAAATGCCATTATTTATTATATTTTAAGTAATTTAAGCCCACTCATGCTTCAAATATAGTATGGCAAGTTTCTGACCTTTAATCACACCTCACTTTCACCTGCAACACATCAGAATGTAACGCTAACATGACACTTGTCCTCATCCTCTTAGCCGCATTGGGAGCAATGTGGATGGCCAGTACCTGATGGATGCGGTCCCATTCAGCTGCTGTAACCCCAGCTCCCCCAGACCTTGCATCCAGTACCAGATGACCAACAACTCTGCTCACTACAGCTATGACCACCACACTGAGGACCTCAATGTTTGGAAGCGCGGCTGCCGCGACGCCCTGCTATCATACTATGGAAGCATGATGAACACCATTGGAGCTCTGGTGGTGCTGGTCACCATACTGGAGGTCAGGGCTGCACATGCATGGACACAAATACACATGTATTCACACAAACTGTATTATTTTCCAAAGTGTAGTTTAAAATGAATTTTACTCCACCAGAATTCCAACACTATCACTTAGCCCTGCGGGAGACAGTCCAGGATGGTTTTCATTGAAAAACTCGGGGAAGTAGCTGTGGACTGCTCTTTATTATAGCTGGGGTGGTTAACCAGAGATACAGTTTCCAAAACTGTCATTTACTGCTAATCCTTGAAGTAGTTTTTCTCATAAATAAAATGTGAAAATCATCTGACAAAACATAAATCTCATATTTGTGTCACTTCCCAAAGCAATTTGAGAAGTGACAAAAGGTGCCCACTTGTAGTTGGTTGAGGTTAGCAGCATAACTGGATGTATCACCATCTGCCCCCATCTTGCAGTCCACAGACAAACCCTTCTCAGAATTTCAGTTGTTGTGGGTGTTCAAAAAGGGCAAAGTTGAGCCAATTGCACACTCAAACTTCTACAAGTGACACCAAGTGAGATTTATGATTTATTAGAAGTGTTTTCAAAGAAATATTTTGGTTTAACAAGAGAAAACACTTGAAGGATAAGGACAAACTGGTTGTTTTGGCAAATGCACATCTGGTTAACTCCCCACCTGTGATAAAATGCTGTGCACGGCTACTTCCCTGAGCTTTTCAATGGGAACCACCTGGCACTGTCTTCCACAACAAGGCTAATCGGCACTCTACTATCAAATGTGACATTGAAAGTGTATGTTTCAAGACATACAGACATAAAAATACTCTGCTTTGAATAATAAAATATAGGAAAATAAATCTATAAATATGCTCTGGATATAAGATTTTGCATGCTTCACTAAAAAGCCCTTTCTCAGTGTGTGGGCACTGGAGGTTTCAAGTTTCCTAGAGCACTTGTGTAAGTTGCATATGCTGAGCTTCCAGTGTAGTTGTAATGTCACAAAATCATTAATGTACATACAAATGTTAATGTGACTGCACAGATAAATGAAGTAACAATAAAAATAATCAAAACACATTTTTGGGTGGAGGAGGACTTTAATAAATAAATGAAATGTTCGAGTGTTTTACAATACACGTGGGAAGTAAAATAGCATGAGTTGAAATGAGAATTTAAATGGCCTTGCAGCGAGGAGTGAGGTGAAATGGCTGTGTATAAATATGCAAAGCACTGACCCAGTTAACATTTCTGTCATCCATCACCTCCTTTCTTTCTTTTTCCCCCTTTCCACCCTCCTGCTCTGCTGTCCACTTACTCCATCTCCTTTCCAAACAACTCTGCCCTCTTTACCTAAATATCAGTCCTCCTGCCCTACTGTTAGGTTACCTTACACCACCTTTGTTCAGTTTACCTACAATATCTCGCATGCTACTTTCTACCCATTCTAATTCTGTGGCATCCAAATGGCATCTCTCTTATCTTCAGCTTTCTCCTCAGCCTCCATTGACAACATCTGTTGTTGTTAAGGCCCACGAATCTGCACAGCAGCAAATATACAGATGCCGTAAATCCTCAGTGATAACAGTATAAGTCTGAATGGTGTGAGTTCTTTTGTTATTACAAGCAGACAGTAAATAGCAGGTAAATAACATCTCTGTCCCAGAAATGCTGCGGACAAACCCTTGTTCTAAAATCCTGGGTCTAGACGACACACAGAAGCAGATCAGATGCACAGTTGGAGGAATCCCAGATTTAAGAGTAGTTCTGACAGTGTCTTTGTGCTAACATGCGTAGTGGATGTATGGGAGGTGACAAACACAGATCAACTTCCTGGAGATTGAGCTCCTGATCTGTAGTCACCATTCACAGTAACTTGCTGCTTAATTTTTCTAATGATAGGGTAGACAATGAGCCTGCATATTACTTCATTTGTCTAATTTTGTTGTTGTCCTCATTTTCCTCCTTCCTACATACCTGCACATTTATGGAATAGAATAGACATGTACTCCATTGATAATGAGGGGGGCATGGTCTTGTCTGTGTCTCCTGGGGTCCATGATGATATACATCAGCTATATCCAACTCACAACCTCTGTTTTGTTTGTCCATTTGTTGATGTCTGTAGATTTTGTTGGGCACGTGTCAGTCTCTTCTGTCATCTTTGTGTAATATTAATAAAAACAAGGAGAAAATAATTTGTAAGATATTAAAGGGTATTCAAAATATGACTGCATCTTATTTTTATTATCATTTAATCTGCCAGTTGTTTTGTGATTAATTGATCAATAGTTTGGTCTGCAAACTTCGGATAATAATCAAAGAATGTCTTGTTTTGTCCAAACCCCAAATGATCAAAATAGCTGCTGAATAATTTTCTGTTAACTAATCAATAAATGAACTAATAATTGTAGCTCTAATTCAAAATGTTCAGTTCAATTAAAATTTTACAAGTTGTAATAATGATAAAGAAATACATGTTTTTAGCTTGTCAGGCTAATCATTATGATAGTATTTCCTTAAGTCAAGCATCATTTGACAAAAGTTATTTTTCCACCTCTGCTGCAATTTTGCTTTAGCCAAAGCAATTTTGTCCTTTGACAACAAAAATAATTAATAATTTTATGACTTCTGGACATTCTTCTTCTTCTGTTTTCATGTGGTATAGTTACAAAGAGAGACTCTAAAACATATTTATAGTGGTCATCCCCACTCATCAAAGCTGATACAGTACATTTTGAGAGCTCAGGTTTATCAGATACATGATTCTGTCCTTTTGCAGGTTGCTGTGATCATTGGCCTACAGTACATTCACAGCTCCCTGTCCACCCTCGCTAACCCGGAGGACCCAGAGAGCGAGAGTGAAGGCTGGATCTTGGAGAAGACGGTGAAGGAGACGTTCACTGACATCATGGCCAAAATGAAGGCCATGGGCAAAGGCAGCAAGGTGGAGGAGGGGGGCGAGGCAGTGGTTGCAACCGTGAGCTGAGTTAGCCCCCACTGCAAAAACAAACACCGCCTCCACCTGAAGAAGAGATGGAGGGGGCATGTGAGTGTGCTACTTTTTTCTACCAACATTTATTATGTAGGGACACACACACACATTTTAAATTCTATGAACTCCTTTTAAATGGACTCCTCACAAATGGACTACTTGCATAAATAATTCAGTATATTCATTCATAGAAAGATTATGACTAGGATGAGTTATGTTATGGTTTTTAATCTTGGTTTTCCCCAACCAAACAAATCCATTTTAGTTTCACAGAATGTTTTTAAAGACATTTCGTTTCTGATATGCTGTGAATTTGGATTAATTTGTTCACAAAATATGTTGGACATGTATTAATAGGTGTCAGATGCTTTGCAGTGGAAATATGTCATTTTTTTCCTTGTATTGTTGTCAAATAGTTTGTCAGGCATGGCAGGTGCTATGTAGCATCCCCCAGTGAAGCCAGGGTGCAGATAGAAGATATTTACAGCCCAAGAAATGCTGGGTTTTATTTTGGTTGACCTGTCATTAGTGCTTTGGCTTTTAGCTGACCCTGAATATAGATAAAGCAAAGCAAACAAATTACAGCCCCACTCACCTTTTTTTATACTCTTCACCTCCAGTCCACAGTGAAGACTGAATAAGCTCTGAACTGGAGAAAGGTCATGAATCAGTATGACTTATGCATGAATGTTGTGGCACAATCTCGAGGAGTGAGTCATGGAAATCTGGGATAGAAGCAGGGGCATCTTCAAGCCTGCGGAGGAACTAAATTGGCAGCTATATCTTGGCTCCTGACCCCTGTACTGTAATCTCATATCCACTTTGGTGTGTCCTTGTGCATTCACTCTCTGTATATAGACATATACTGTATGTACATTCTGTCTTTGTATATAGTGTAGAAATTATGAAGAAATTTAACGTTTTTAAAATTATGTAATTAAGCAAAATTATGTAAATTCATGCAATATTTTTTTCCAAATCATTTTTTGGGTCTGTGTAGAAGAGAGACTAAACTGATTGTATACATGAATAAAGATTTTTAAAAATGTGATTTGACAGTGAAATAATGACGTGTTGTCTCGACCTTGAGTCGCACAGACCTGAGATCAAGAGACACATTTCCTGATTAAGTCAATAGGATAAGGGCAATTATGGCATTACTGCTTTCACATGGACATGGGCTGATCTTCACATGTCCAGTGTAAGGGTGTGTTTGTCCTTACATTAACAAACAAAAAAAATGCATGCATATATGAGTTTTCTAGGTATAATTTCTTTTGGTTGCATTTTCCTATTGAATTTTTCCACAACCTGATCATTTTTGTGCCTTAAATTTGCACCAGACAAAGCTTTGAATTCAAAGGTGGCAAGTAGCAAATCCTTTGCTTCCTTGTTAATAAATAGTAGCCACTACGGTACTGTTCAACCACAATTACTATAAAGCATGTACACCTCAAATGAGGTTCACATATTCATGAATGATCAATGATGAACCAAAATATCAAAGCAAGTGTGGCTTAGTGAGAGCAGATGGGGGAGGGGGCGTTTCAAGAGTCAGCCGGAATAGTAAAGAGGCCAA